CAGAACACTCTACCCCCAAAGAGCAGAAGAGTCCATGGACCATGCATCAAAAGAGGCCATAACCTGGCCTTAAAAAACAAAATAAAATGAACAAACAAAAACCACTTCAACACATTTGAAAGAGTTAAGATCATATAGAGTGTAAATAATTTGTGACTCAAGAAGTCTCAAAAAAAAAATCAACTTAACTCAGTAAAAATAAAAACAACAAAACACAGTGTATGTAATGAAGCTAAAGCAGCGCTGGGAGGGAAATGTATATCCCTAATATTTATACTAAAAATGAAGAAACAAAAAAAGATCTGAAATCAATAAACTACATTCCTACCTCAAGTAATTAGAAACAGAAGAACCAAATAAACTCAGATTAAGTGGGTGAAAGGAAATAAGAAAGGAGTAGACAGCCCTGAAATTGAAAGTGGACAATCGAGAAAATCAATGGGAAAAAAGCTCATCCTTTAAAAAACATGAAATGGATAAACCTTTGGTAAGAGCGACAAAAATAAAAATATACCAGAAAGAGGGGTGCCTGACTGGCTCAATTTGTGGAGCATGCAATTATTGATCTCAGAGTTGTGAGTTTAAGCCCCACGTTGGTGGAGAGATTACTTAAAAAATAAAATATTAAAAAAATATATATATATAGGGTGCCTGGGTGGCTCAGTTGGTTGAGCAACTGCCTTTGGCTCAGGTCATGATCCCGGACTTCCAGGATCGAGTCCTGCATTATGCTCCCAGCTCCTTGGGGAGTCTGCTTCTCCCTCTGAACTTCTCTCTCATGCTCTCTCTCACTCATTCTCTCTCAAATAAATAAATAAAATCTTAAAAAAAAGATATATATATATATGGCACCTGGGTCATGTCAGTAGGCTAAGCAACTGACTCTTCTTTTCTGCTCAGGTTATGATCTCGGGGTCATGAGCTTGAGCCCCGCCTCTGGCCCTGCACTCAGGAGAGTCTGCCCGAGATTCTCTCTCACCCTTTCCTTCTGCCCCTCCCCCCATGTCTGTACTTGTGCATCACTCTCTCTCTCTCTCTCAAATAAATAAATAAATTTTAAATATACATATATGTATAAAACAAAGAAATCCCCTATATTAACAATGAAAAAGGGGATATCACTACAGATTCCACAGCCATTAAAAAGATAATAAGAATACTGTGAACATCTTTATCTTCATAAATTTGACAATTTAGAAGAAATGGACCAATTCCTTAAAAACCACAAACTGCCAAACTCAACCAATAGATAATCTGAATAACCCTGTAAGCATTAAAGCATTTGAGTTCATAGTTTAAAAGCTCCTGAAAAAGAAATCTCCAGGCCCAGATAATTTCTGTGGAAAATTCTATGAAACCTTGGAAGAAGAGTTAGCCCCAATTTTATGCAATCTATTCCAGAAAGTTAAAGAGGAAACATTTCTCAATTTATCGTAGGAGGCCAGTATCACCCTGATACCAAAAACGGATAAAGATAGTACAAAAAAGAAAACCACAAACCAATATCTCTCATGAATTAAGATGTAAAAATCCTCAACAAAATGTTATCAAGCCAAATCCAACAATATATATGGAAAAAAAATTATATGCCATGACTAGTGGATTTATTCCAGTTATGCAAGCCTGGTTCAACCTTTGACAATTAATCAATATAATTTGCTGCTATCAACAAACTATAAGCAAAAAATTAAAATCCATATTTATAATATATATATAATATATTTATAATATATGTGAAATGTATTTTTATGTTGGCTGCAAATGAGAAAATAAAATTAAATTCCTAGTGCGGTACTGCTCCCAAATACAAAATACTTAAAATGTACCAGTGATATACAAGACTTTTACATTGAAAATACTGATGAGATTTTAAAGAAGATCCAAATAAATGGAGATATATATATACCATATTCATGGGTTATAAAACTAAATGTTAAGGTCAATTCATTCCAAGTTGATCTACAGATTAAACAAAGTCCCAATCTAAATTTCAGTCCCCTTTTTTAAATAAATCAACAAACAGGCCTTTAAATTAAATGTAAATACAAATTTACATTTGTATTTGTCTAGATTTCTCTAGATTTGTCAACCCAATTAAAAAAAAAAAACAAAACAAAACCAAGGTTGGAGGCCTCACTCTTCATTGGATAGGAGTGTTTCTATGCTATTTCTATTATTGTACTCATCATGTTTTACTGTAATTATTATTAATATAATGAATGTTCCTTGAGAATAGGGACAATGTCTTAATCATCTCAGTCTTTTTTTTTTTCCAATACTGTATCCAGCTTTGTTAAGGACAGTTTTCATAAACAGTCACGGTATTTCAGGCAGGGCATGGGCAGACCATCATTAATAGTATACAACAACTTTCAAACTCTCTTGTTCAGTGGACTACCAAAATAAAAAAGCCACTATAAAACCCAATGAAGTCTTCATGTGAATCTCTGAACAGGGAAAGTTTAGAGTGAGGGTTGATGTTTCACATGTAGCATATTGTCCAACAAACTTCTCACAAGCCAATCCTGACTTTCTGGAAATGAAATGAAGATGGCAGAATTATCCACCTGAAGATCCACAAGCTAAAAAAGGAGCTCTTTGGAGGGATGCCATCTCCATGGTGACACTGGAGAGTCCAGATGGCCTGACATACTGGGAGTCATGTTTTGGGGTCAGGTGCCAACAGGTTTCTAGGTTTAAGGGAGTCAAGTCTATGGTAAAGGCAGAGAGGGAGAAGAGGACATAAAAAAAATGAATTTTAGTTTTTCCTTACCACAAGGCTTTTGTGCCAAGGTGGCTAATGTGTGTCAACATCAAAGAATCCCTTCTCCTGGGAACCAAGAGGAAGTTTCTCAAAAGTAGAAGGAAAAGGTATTTCCCCCTGTATCAATCTAGCTTTGGAAATATTCTACTAGTAACGTATGTCCTTCCTCTGAAAGAACTATGAAGTGTTCTGTGTGCTAACAACATAGCCTAAAAGAGAAGTTAAAACAAAATTCTGCATTTTTAGAAAACTTCATTAAAAAATAGGATTTCAAACTGTACAGTCACCACAAGTACACAGGTATCACTTGGCATCTCCAGTGCCCTCAGCTTTCTGTGCCTGGTGTGTTTGGCATCTCCATTTCTGCAGGGTTATTCCCATCCTTGCCAGCATCAGCTTTCCCCCTTTCCCTTTGGGCACCTTCTCTTCCCTCTTTGCAGGGGCGTTTTTAGGCGTTGACTCTGGCTCTGGAGAAGCAGATTTATCAGATAACCTTGAAGAACTTCACCTTGGCCTAATTACTTGGAGCATCCACTTTGGCCTTTCTCTTGGGCATGGGGACGATGGGGGAGATGTAGGTGCTGGACACAGAGATGCAGTGGTGCGGGCCTTGGTCAGTCTGGGGGGTTCTGGCCTCTTCTTCATGCTGCTCCCAACATCTTTGGCTTAGTCACCTTTGTCTTAACACAACATAGATGTTTTCAGTAATATGTTTTGAATTACTTAAAATATTGACCATTTTGTATTTATATGATTTTAATTTGAGAAAAAAAGGAAGATGGGTATGTAAATCACTCAGCATGTGGATAGGAGTTTCTGGTGATAGCATCAGAAAAGTAGCCAGCTTTTTCTCTTTCCAAGAGCAAGGTCTAGAATCTTGGGACTCTGGTTTCCATTTAATACATGGGGAACTTCCCTGGAGGTAATTCTGTGAGTATGGTTTTACATCAAGGAATTACTTGGAATCTGCCTTTAGCCAATTCCACATCAATTATTCATGGAAATTATTGCTTGCCAATTTTCATCTTTGTTTGTATTGGCTCTGATGATTCTGAATATGTATCATTCAATTCTTCAATGTGAAACAGAGGGACCCATTTCAACATTTAAGGTGAACTCCTCAGTTCCAAGTAACATCAGCCAATGGATTTTATATCTTGCCAGTTCTCTAATACTTTATTCTTAATCCACAGCCCTTTGGAGTTTTATAAATAACTTTGATAAATCCAAAAGGCCATCCATTTTCTCGTCACAGAAGTTGCAAATTGGTATTGGTCCATGTGTGTATATTTCCAACCATTTTTCCTACCCAAAATTGTTTGCTTGCAATGAGATTTGGTACAGTTTAGTGTCCTTTGAGATTACTCATAAAGGCTTTTGAAATTGTTTGTTGTTTGATTGTTTATCTTTGGGAAACTTCATAGCACACCACTGAAGTCACCCCAGTCAAAGCCTGTTTTTCTTTCCATTAGGTCATCAAGGACAGCACCAAATCAAGTATAAGTAGTAGCTTTTTCCTTCTATAATAAACAAAGATGCTCTTATTTGAGTTCCTGGGTTTCTCATTCTCACACTTTCTGACCCAGAGTATTTAAACATTGTGAAGGTAATGCAAAACAGATAATCTGTTCAGATAAATAGATTCAACATTGTCTACTCCAAGGGTGGTTATGGGGGACATAGACAAGATATGGGCTTTAAATTAACAGAGTCAATCTCACAGGTGGCATCTACAGGTTTATGCTGTAGTCTGTAGGGAGCGTCCAACCAGTCAATGTTTGCTAAACATCAGTAACATGCTGTGTTCAGTGATATGAAGATTCCAGGCGTGAAAAAGATAAGGTTCCTAGACATATGTATGCAAATAAGACAAAGAAGTATGTGATAAGGATCAATGGAAATGTATGAATTAACCCCCTTTTAAAAAAAGATTTTATATACTTATTTGAGAGAAAGAGAGACAGACAGGCAGGACACAAACATGTGGAAGGGCAGAGGGAGAGGGAGAAGCAGACTCCCCACTGCACAGGGAGCATCAGGCTCCTGATGGTGCTCCATCCCAGGACACTGGGACCATGACCTGAGCTGAAGGCAGAGGTTTAATGGACTGAGCCACCCAGACACCCTTGAGTTAACACTGTTGAACTGAAGGGCAAAAGAAACTTACAATCGGTAGACACTACAAGACTTCATGGAGGAATATAGTATTTGAACTGGGCCTTGAAGGAGGGTAATAATAGTTCCATTGGGAAGGAGGGATATGCCAGGTGGATGAAATGGCACATGCAAAAGCCTGGAAATGAGAAAGTCAGAAAGGGGCCAAATCCATCTGTCATGGACTTTGTGCAGGGTCTTCTGGTCAACAAAACTTCGGTTGTTAGCTGTTTCATTCATAATGGTGAAGAGATAGGAAGCAGGAGATATGTTTAACCAAAGTCAACTCTGTACAGAAGCCACTTAGGGATTTTTTATTGGAAGAATTAGGCTTTTGTTTTGTTTTGTTTTTTCAAAGAACAGCTTACTCAGTAGAATAAATCCAATGCAAAGAATTTTACCTTGCATACTTGTCATATAGTGGGCAGATGCTTCCTGTCCGTTGAACAGAGTTGAGAGAACTGACCTAAGCATGGTCTTATTAGGTTGGACCCAAAGGTAAAGAGCAGTCCAAAAAATGGGATTGATACAGCTTTCATGATTGGTGCTTGATACAAACATCAACTTTAAGAATCACAGCATTTCTTTTTTTTTTTTTTTAAGATTTTATTTATTTTAGAGAGAGTGAGAGAGTGCATGATTGGGGGGAGGGTCGGAGGGAGAGGGAGAGAATCCAGCAGACTCCACACTGAGCTTGGAGCCCGATGTGGTCTTCCATCCCAGGACTCTGAGATCAGGACCTGAGGCGAAATCAAAGTCAGTCCCTTAACCCACTGAGTCACCTAGGGACCCCAAGAATCATAGCACTTCTTATGTGTACCTTAGCTTAATATTAGCATTAGTTGCAAATTCTGTACTTACTCTCTAGACATGACTCTGTCTCCCAAGAATGGGGAAAAAATGTACCTTGATTTTTTTGAGTAAGAAATAGATACAAATATTAACATGTAACATTTATGGAGTACTAACCATATGAAAAGCCCTGAAATGAAAGTTCAGGTACATCCTCTCAATCTTCATATCAGTACTGTGAAGTGGATAGTATCATTATTATTCACAAGGAAATTAATGCACAGTTAAATAATTTGACCAAAGCCCCATTGGTAGTAGGTAGAGAAGCCAGGATTTGAAACTAGGCAATGTGGCTCTAGCATATATGCTGAACTGCTAGATACTAAGCTGCTAAATGGAAATAATAATGGTATACCTCTCATGGTGTCATTATGATCATAACATGAGTTAATATGCATCAAGTGCTTATCACAATATCTGGTGTCTAGTAAGTACTCCATAAATGATAAAAACTATTATTGGAACATTAAGTTACTTGCCCAGAGTTGCTTACACCAGAGCACCATGCCTTCAACCCTTATAAAACTGTATAGATAATCTCGGATACACTATAATCATGTCATCTTTTATTGTTGTTTTACTGAATTTTGCTTTAGAAATCTCAACTTACTGCAATGTTTTCAGAGGCCAGCAGAAGTAAATGAGTTCCATGTGAAACATGTAGAAATCTCATGTACATTAAAGAACATGAGTTCTTCAATCACCATGACTTGAACATTAAAAACACATATGCTATTCCCATGGCTATTGTAGCATTATTTTTATAGGCTAAAGGTGCAAGCAGAGTGTCCATGGTTGAATGAATGGCTAAACAAAATGTTATATATAGGTACAATGGTGTATCATCCAGTCTTTAAAAAGAAGGAAATATTATCACATGATAGAATGTGGGTGAACCTTGAGGATATTATGCTAAATGAAATAAGCCAGTCATAAAATGACAAATACTGTATGATGCAATTTATATGAGGTACCTGGAGTAGTCGGATTTAGAGAGAAAAAAAGTAGAATGGTGGTTGCCAGGGGCTGGAGGGAAAGGGAAATGAGGAGTTACTCTTTCTTAGGTAGAGTTTCAGTTTTGTAAGATGGAAAAAGTTCTGGAGATGGATGATGGTGATGATTGCACAGCAGTGGGCATGTACTTGATGCCATTGAATTGTGCACTTAAAAGTGGTTAAAATTGGGTCGCCTGGGTGGCTCAGTGGGTTAAGGTCTCTGCCTTCAGCTCAGGTCATTATCCCAGGGTACTGGGATTGAGCCCTGCATTGTATCATCAGGTTCCCTGCTCAGTGGGAAGCCTGCTTCTCCCTCTATCTCTGCCTGCCCCCCAACCCAACTCCTGCTCACATGTGCTCTCTCTCACTCTAAAATGAATACATAAGATCTTTAAAAAGATGGTTAAAATGGGGACCCTTGGGTGGCTCAGTTTATTGAGCGACTGCCTTCCACTCAGGTCATGATCCTGGAGTCCAGGGATCAAGTCCCCCAACAGGCTCCCTGCTCAGCAGGGAATCTGCTTCTCTCTCTGCCATCCCCTTCTCATGCTTGCTCTCATTCTCTCTCTCTCTCTCTCTCTCAAATAATAATAACAAAAAGATGGTTAAAGTGGTAAATTTTTATGATCTGGGTATTTTACCACAGTTTTCAAAAAGCACATATATAAATTGAAGTTCTATATATAAGATTTTCAATATTTCAAGTCTATATATTCAATATATATAGTATATATTTCAGTGCAAAGGCCTTCATGGTCATCATAATAAAAATGAGATCTTTTTGAAAAACAGGTAGAAGTCATTTTCTTTCTTACACATTGTGAATGCTACTTAGTAAAAAAAAAATTGTTTATTTTAAACACTGAAACATTATTTGGAACTTTCAATATTCCACAGCTGAACATTGGGTTTCAATAATCCTCTTTGCTGTTTTTCTGATGTTCTTATTTCTAAAACCCAATTCTCCTGGGGAATGCATTACTCTCTCTTATAGCAGGTGAACAATTTCTATAATTTAAATATTCAAAAATTTGAGGCCGCTCTGCAGTGGGAGGACACAGTAGGCAGAGATGTTATTATCTTGAGGATACCATATTACAAATAAATTGGATTCTTCATTCCCTTCTGGGAAAAGAGATGGGAACCGATATGTTTTTGAACATGCGTTAGCTTCCATGGTTTTTGCAGCCATACAGGACACTTTGTATACATTATCTTATGGGAGGAGATGAAACAATATATTGAATGTTGAGACATTGCAAGTGTTTTCCTCCCCTGGTTTCTAAAGAGGGAGACTTGCTGATGCTTTAGTCACGGAGCTACCTTTATTGTACAGGATTCAGGTGTTCCTAAATGAAAATGAAAATGGGGAGACTCAGTTCATCTACCTATCTGGTACCTTGATACTTGGTGCCAAATAGTTCTTTGTTTTGGGGGCTGGCCTATGTATTGCAGGATGTTCAGCAGCCCCTGCTTGAGAGCACAGATGTACATGTTCATGGTGGAGGTTGGGAGGGGAGAAAGAAGCTAGGCTAGAGAGGTGACAGAGCTGGATGTTATAGACAGTGTTGGATGGTAGAGAGAGAATTTTTTGGAGCTACTGCTACAGACAGAATAAGAGAGAAGCCCCAAAAGGATTTTGATAAATTATTTTTTTTATAAGTTTATTTTAGAGAGCAAGAGGGAGGGACAGGGGAGAGGGAGAGAGAGAATCCAAAGTAGGCTCCACACTCATCAGAGCAGTGTGCTCAGTGCAGAGCCCTACTCGGGGCTCAATCTCATGACCCTGAGATCATGACCTGAGCAAAATCAAGAGTCGGATGCTTCACTGGTTGAGCCACCCAGGTGCCCCGAGAAATTATTAAGAATGAATGTTCCCCTTTATAATTTTCTTGAAAGTTTGAATCGAGATTCTCTGACTCATGATTTTCTCTCTGGTTGTTATTTCTTGGAATGTGATTTTTGTGTTGAAACTGAATCACATAGTATGGGTTTGTGTAGATTTCCTGTGGATTACACTTATAACAGTCCTTTGAATTTGCATTTTCTCCATTTTTATAAAAGATGGGCTGACCTTTCCATAAGGTCAGATTGCATGGTGTGCCATTCTGCCTTCTCTCTTCCTTTTGCCTTCCATAAAGGGAATATGGTTAGTTTCCTTGAAATTTTAAAAAGAATAGTAGGAAAAGATACCTCCTGTTCTCTTTTTAAATGATGTCAGATCTGATATTCAGAGGTAATTTACTATCTGACCATCCTATGATTTAAAAAGTTCTGTCTGCCGCTTTATTAATACTGCTCTAAAAATTACCATAAGTTCAGTGGCCTAAAACAATACTTTTTGGAGACCCATCATCAGCGGGGGCTGCATTCCTTCCAGAGACTCTGGGGGCAGAGAATCTGTTTCCTTGCCTTTCCAGTTTGTAGAAGTCACACGCACCCTTGACCCTTGGCCCTGTAACACCTCAACCTGTTTCTTTCATTTATCTTCTTTTTGTCCTGCCTGCCTCCCTCTTAGTAAAGACACTTCTGATTACTTTGGGCCCACCTGAATAATCCAGGACAATCTCTCCCTCTTAAGATACTTAATCACATCTGCAAAGTCCCCATTGCCACATAGGGTAACATTTTCCCAGGTTCCAGGGACTAGCATGAGGACATCTTTGAGGGAGTGGGTGTGCGTCGTTATTCTGCCTCCCACAGCTAGAGTATAAACACAGGCAGGATGTGTGGTCTCATTCTGCTAGCATGCTTGAATTGCTCCATCTTGATTTTATTTTTTTTTTTAAGCACTTGAAATTCTTAGGCTTAGCCAACATTTAATTTTCACATTAGAAAAGTGATAAGAATTACTCAAATTATAGTAATATTGATGGAGAAACCAATCGAGCTTTTATTACAAACCCAAGTTCCTCTTTAACCTCATTCCTAGTAGCTAATTACCAGGTCTGTTCAGAAGGACAAAGCACCCTCAATGTTCTTCCTGAAACAGACAACACATCTAATAGTTAAACGTGTGCAATAAATCCTCTTTCAACATTCAAAAGTATCACGTAATCAGCACAGTGCCCAGCACAGAGTAGTGTTTCAGGAACATTGGTTTAATGATTGAAAGGCTACATGATCACGTTAAAATACTTTGGGGCTGAAAGCTGTTACTTCATTTGTTATTTATTTGGGGATAATGTGGTTTGACCTGTGACACATAACTTCTGGTGAAACTCAGGAGCTGGGTATAATAATGCTGATGATATTTCATTTCACCTTTCCTTGCTAATAGATTCAAACCAGT